GAAAACATCCGAAATCCATAACGTATAGTCGGCTTGTTTGAAGAGGATTCACGGTTTTAAAGATACATTATAATATATGTTAGAAATAAACAATAATTTAGGTATATATACCTGTCTTCAAAAGATTAATTTTCTACGAAACAGTTCAAATGTCTTTAACAATCAATAGTAATCACCTTTTCAGGTTCTTTGTTTTGTTTTCTGATATGTTATAGAACTGTTTGAATTTAAATTATTCTAAAAAGACAGCCTATAAATATAAAGATTTTTAATACCCTTTTATTATATAAAAAGGTTGCTATAAAATTTCTATTCATATTTGATATATTTGTTTTGTTTTAAACGATAAGTTAAACTAAAGTTCAGTTGGAGAAAATATATTAATTTAAAATACAGTGCTTCAGTCATAGATAATTCAATACCTGCTTATGACGCGTGTTATATTTTTCAATGAGTTATCATCGTACAGAGCTATATGTTCCAACAGATTCTGCACAGAGAACCTAATAATATTTGCACTTACTACTATTTTCATTTCAAAATTAAATAAAACTTAACTACAATGAGATAGTTACATACATTTTAAAACAGTATTCCCTTATTTATACAATTATATGAAGATTTAAAATTTTAATTTAAATCCAATGTATACAACTTCTCTTGTCTTTCCTAAACAAGACGACTTTAGAATAATGACACTCCACTGTAAAATATATAGCATTGTTTTGATACAGCTAAAACGATTTTGAGATGAAAATATTTTTTTGACCGTTAGAAGAACAGAAACAAAAACGAACCCTTTATACGATTTAATAAAGTTTATTATCGTGTTAACATATTTTTTAATCTCACGTGAAGAATAACGATGGTAGTTTATGTAGTGGACGATATCGCATCAAATGAGGGCCGCTAATATTTTTATTGGTGTTCTGGTGAGAGCTAGACAATTTATGGGGGACGTGGGGGGGAATGGACGGGGGCAGCGCAGACAGGTGCCCGTATATTGGATATAAATCATCCTGGATTCTTTACATTACATATTACAGACTCTTCATACGACACAACACACCAAGCTTGTACACAACGTTTGAGTAGATCAATACGAGGGGATCGAAATTGGTTCAGAACAATCAAAACACCCGTAAGATATAAAAATACCATAAAATTTCCATTACTATCCACCCATGGACGGCCGTTTGGCGGTTTGACAAAGGTTCAAAATACACTCATATATTATAATGAAGAAATGACAAAACTAAAACATCTGACAAAAACGATATAAATAATATTTATTATACTAAACAAACACATTATTTAAGAAACACTAAAATACTATATAATAAATTTACCTGCCCCAAACATTCTCATTAGTTAACACACAGAATATTTTAATCAACGTTTTATATTATAGGATTTTTTCATTTAATATTCACGACATTAGTACCGAAATTGGATGCAATGAAAAAGCAATTTCGCGGGATCCCGATCAAATAAAAGCGAGTCTTGCACCCATACTGAAACACTGTTTAATGTTCTCGATGCGCCATTAAATTGTCCTCATAAAACATCACTTATTGTCCCATGAATATTTTAAAGTGTTTTTTTTTAGTATCACCCGTGTTTTGTTTACGTGGAGATTGAACACGCTTTCAAGTTATGAGTTTAAATCTCTTTCATCGGGATGGGATAAACTTGATGCGGTAGCTTATAACAATTTTTATCATTACTATGAAGTATAGTATTAGATAAACTAGAAGTAGTAGTTCCAGATCCGTACTAATATTATAAATGCGAAAGTAACGCTTTCACGCCTAAACCACTGAACTGATTTTAATGAAATTTGATACAGAGATAGAATTGACCTTGAGAAAAAACAAGATAGTTTTTATTCCAGAATTTTGAAAGGTTCTCTTGGAAACGCGATATAACCGAACTCCACGCGGGCGAAGCTGCGGGCGGAAAGCTAGTATCTTTATAATATCAAGATTGTATTGACGTCTTCTTCACTTCATGATTATAGCAGATACTTCTAACAAGTGATCTTTTATCATCTAGCTGGGGATCTATCAAGTATTGACTTGTCGCGTCGTAATTTTACGTTGCTAATAGCGACAACTCACGGCTCATTTGCTTGGTATTTCATTACATCTGTCTGAAGCAAAACTCATTCAAGGGCCAAGTGACCCTAAACGATGCAACTACAATGAAAACATATTCAAACTAATAACAACTCTATTACAATACATATAAGGATTAATACAAATGAAGCATGAAGTTTGCAACAATCAAATTAAATTTTCAAATGTAGACGCATTCAGGCAAGCGAATTTGAACTTTAAATATAAAGTTATAAATCTCATGATGAAGGCACATCAAAGTGAACGAATCTGCTTGATAGATAACAGGTATTTGTAGATATGACCGCTGTTATGCTGTTAAATGTGAAGCTGAGATTAATGATTCTTGATTTGGTTATGAAATTCTAAATGGCTTAAGTTAAATTGCGAACTAAGAATTATTTGATATGTATAACAGATTGTATGAATAACGAGCAGTGTAGTCGCCCAAATAAATAATACTGATAAAGTTATAAATATATTTTCTTGTCTTCATTACTAAAGTTAGGAAGTATTGAAAAATATTTTGTTAGGCTTAGAATACGCCTAGATTTTTTAAAGTGACAATTAAAAGTTTTGCGTATTATTATTGTTTTTACAAGTTTTTATATTAAGGTTTATTATTAACTTTATTTAATTATGATTTAAATTAATGTCACTAAACAGGAGGGGATGTAATCGATGAAATAATTACTAAACAGTAATATATAGTTCACTGTAAGGACCTGTTTCCTTGCCGAAAAAAATCTCTTTGTATTTTTTATATTGCATCGTTTTTATTTCTTCATAGCGTGAACAGTAAATCCTGTATCATTACCCAATACACCATAAATACTCGCGTCGACGACCCGAGCACACGATACCACCTCCAGATGATGTATCCCAGCACAAATCAGTACATAGCGCTCGAGGTAATCATCTGTAAACTATTTACTATTCAGAACCAGGAATTTTACAAAAGAGGTCCATTGCGACGCGCCCTTGCGTCTCCAAAACCAGAAACACATGAAACTTGAAGTATCACAGATATGAAGCTATTTGATCGTAATAGGGGAGGGATTTTTGGTAAAGGAAGGCCAAGTAACCCTGGTCCGGGTACAACAACGGAGTATTCATTCAACCATTATTTCCACGTGATTTGACGTGTCATTGCCATGCCCTGCTATGGCAGATAAAGTCAGGAAAAAATCAAGTCTACTAAAAAATTATTAGGTTTTTAAATTCATATATTATATGGCAACTTAAATATTTAATCGAACAATAGTTTTTATAATGCCCATGTGTATGTTATAACAAATTTATCCAAGACTGCAGGCAATGTTTTTCTGACAGTTTTCCAGAATCGCAAAGTTCAAAACAAAGTGTTAGTATGTATGCAGACGACAGCCAAGATGTACCGATCCCGCCGACAACTCCGGAACTAAGGCCGTCTTTCCATCAACGTATTAAATATTAACAACTGTTTGCTTGTATGAAATATTAATTTGATTTAGTTCAAAGAAATGCACGATGAAATTATTTAACAGATATATTTTTCCTTGTTTTCTGTTTTCAGGATATTAAATAAACAAATATTATGTTATTCTTTTTTTTAAGGCAATATAATATTTATGTCTTTGGTGAAAATATATTTCTTTTTTCAAAGAAAATCTGAAATCATTTTGTGACTATCAAGTTATTGTGTAAATAATATCATAAAAAAATATTCACACTAATTCTCTTTAAAACCACAGTATACTAATTTATTTAAATAAAACATTAAGAACATACCTATACATAAAACATGTTTAAATGTACCAAATAATTCAGAAAACATATGTGAATTAAGATAAAATTCAAGCAAATAAAACTGTAATGATTACAATCTATCAATACATCATGTGAGAGAATCGTCACCCTAAATGAAAATCTATACCACAGTTAGTTGACGCGATAAGAACATAAATCTGCCACCTTCAGGAGTGCTGAATCACGTTAATAAATTTCAGGAAACCGAATGTCACCCCTCTTTTGACGATCAGCGCCAATAGAAATATTGAGGGGCTCACGAATTTACGATAAGCTCCCCGCTCTTCAAATCGATTATTATATGTTTTACATATATCAAGATTTGTCTATCGACTCCGGAATATAAGACGCAAAGAATAAAAGACTCTAAAGAAAATCACGGCAAGAATAAATGTTGAATACCAATTAAACACAAGATTAATATTCATAAACTATATTGAGGATAGTCCTTTATAAAATATAATTAGAATACGTTCTAACAGATCAATATGATCTTGAAATCAGTACCTACTGATTTGTTAATACATGACGTAAAATTGTATAAACATATATGAGATATATAATAAATATATTAACGAAAATATTATACATATATCAAAACTTTAATACACAATATACTTACATGAAAAAGTTTACAACTGATTACATTTTAGAATTGTGTGTGACTTATTTCCATTATTCTAAAAAAGTAAATACATAAAGATCTCAATCAAAAACAAACGACACATTGTAAATGTTGTATGAAAACTATTCTGTAATTTTAAGTTATAAATAATAATTAATCCTAAGGCATATATCTTCCTTAACACTTAATATATTTAAGTTCTATTACTAAATCAAATATATCTATAAAAAATCATATAAGTAACTTAATACTATATATTTCTTGAGTGAATTGCTATAAATCAAAATATCGTTTATCTTATCAGCTGACAGAATACTGATGCTGCTTTTACGTCTTTTCGTCAATTACAGTTCAATCTTGATCCTGTCTTATCTCAAATATACGGAAATAATTTTTATGACGCCATACACGCTATATTTATATGTGTATATGAATGCATATCTTAATTCCATTTTACAATTTCTTCTATCTTAGGCAGGGCTTTGTTTCACTTTGAAGATGCCATCCACGTTGACATCTGTCACAAATATATGACTGTACTTATCATTAATATTATTGCACATCTTTTGTAAATTGCTGTTGAAATTCAGGAACACTATGTTAAAGTCTTTGTCCAAATCTTTAACTATGGACATTAAGTTTGATGCAACCGTTGAATCCATGATTCTTAGATTTGTCCCGTTAACGACAATCTGCAGGCTTGTAACGCAGTGGCTTTCGAGCGCGGCTTTTAATATTTTCCTTCGGACATGTTCAGCTGCACAGTACGACAAATTTTCTGGCAACGATATCACTATCATCGTCTTTTTATCTCCAGCAATAGTAGTCATTTCACACGCAGGTCTTGCAGTTGCAAACAGGAGTATCAAAGCATCAGCCAATATGCCAGTCAGTATGCCATATTCTAGTCCATACAATAAACTAGCTAGCCATGTTGCAATATATACAAAAAATTCTTTTTTACTAGTCTTCCACAATCGGATTACTATTTTGAAATCTATCATGTAAAACATAGCGGTTATAATCAACCCCGCTAAAGACGGTTTAGGAATGTAGTAAAACGTTTTCGTGAGTAAACTTAAAGCCAGAATTAAAAGCCCAGCAGTAAAAATTCCACCCAGTGGTGTTTGGACACCTGAAGCATTGTTCAGAGCCGTGCGAGTAAAAGATCCAGACACAGGCATACTCTTCACAAAGGAGCCGATCATATTGCATAATCCAAGGGCAATCATTTCTTGAGTAGCATCAATCTGACCGCCAGCAGCGAAGGCTTTAGCGATTGCAACCAGCTCTAATATAGAAACCATTGGTAGAATGATAGATTCAGGTCCTAAAACTTTTAACATATCGGTAAATGCATATGTCTGATTGCCAACAACAGCGCTGAATGGCGGTGGTTCTATCTTAGGGAACCCACTGCCGATTTCTCCAATCAATTTGATCGGTTCGGTACCTGTAGATACCTTAATGATATACGCCACAGCCATACCAAATATGACAACAACAGCATTCTTTGCGAGAGATATGAACCATCTGATCTGCTTAGCCAAGGGATCCGTGCGACTACATCCATCTCCAAGGCGTTTCAACAACACCAATATTAATATAGTGATTAAACCCAAAGCCGAATCCCAGTAAACAAAAGTCGTGATGTTCTTAAAAAAATTAATTACTGACTCAGAAAAATAGTGACCAGCGGATCCATCGAGACCAAAGAGAGATTTTAACTGAGCTGATGCTATTTGCAATGCTGCTGCAGACGTAAATCCACTGATGACTGGTATAGATATGAACTCCACTAGGAATCCAAGGTTCAGCATACCCATTATTATAATGACTACTCCGGTTAGGAACGCGGCTAATACAGCAAATTCAGATGAGTAATTGGCTACGTACTTTGCTACAACAGCCGACATGATAGCTGTAGGTCCAACTGTGATGTCTTTGCAGCTTCCCACAAAAAGGTACACAAATCCTCCAGTCAATCCCGCGTATAAACCGTATTCTGGTGACAAACCTGCGACCACTGCGTAAGCAATACCTTGAGGTATTGCCGTCAATCCGACTGTTATTCCAGCTATAATATCTTGAATCAACAAGACGTAATTGTATGTTGGTAGCCATTGTATTATGGGAAGCCGTTTCTTAAGTGTCTTCATAGAAAACATATCTTTCGCGAACTTTGCACGACGCGCTTTGTTGAAAACGACCATAATGTTGTTTTTAGGAAGCCCGACTTGAGACTACACTGAAATTTTTCGAGTTCACTCATATGTATAAGATCTTTCAGTACGCGAATTCGTTATTGACATTGTGCTGAGATAAGGATATTGATTGGTTTATCTTTCCGCAGTATCTTATACAATATAGTAAATTTTTTTGACAGAAAAACAGAACGATTTGCGCAGATCTGTCTGACTCTATCTAATGGTATCACTTGGGTGTTAACATTTGCAATTTATTATGATAGCATGTCATGTACCGATAAATTTAAATGAATATATTATATTATTTGATATAATTTTATTTTGTAAATATTAAAGGCATTTTTCTACTTTCTAGAGAGATCTCAAATGTAACGCTCGAAGTTAAAATAGTTAAAAGCCAACAGAATGAAAACAGTTTTTTAATTCCGCCTGCATGTCAGTAATATGTCTTGATAGTATCGACGTTTGTTTGTTATGGGGTAGCTGGTTCGACCCCGAGTTGTGCAGATAAGAGTGATGAAAGAGCGCGTGGCCTTGCATACAGCCACAGCATTATGGTTACATCAAAATAAAATACACTTGATATACAAATTTCAACCCTATTGATAAATAATAAAGTTCATATTTCAAAAAATATTTAGATCTAGCTTGGAATTTTTGGAAACTAAAACCTGTTAATTAAACCATCTTCTTATTACTCCTAACGTATTTTTACATTTTTATGTGGGGTTAAAATTTAGGAAGTTAAAAGAAATCGACTTTTGAGTCGGGAATAGATTCATTTTGCAAACCAAATTTCACCGGAGATTAATTCAGAAAAAAAAAATGTATTAAATATCTATTTAGAAGACAAAGAGTGCTTTACATATTCAATATGTTGACTGAAGTTCCTTCACATTAATATATTCAATTAGTATGTATATTAAGGTAACATATAGCAACCGTTTTGTTTTGATTAAAATATACCTTTCCACAGGTTTTCTTTTATTTTCGTTTTTTTATTTATTAAAAATTCCAAATTCCAAATAGTAATTCCTTTGACAATTTCTATACGATTAATAAAACAGTGATAGGTGGACTTTTACAAAATTCGTGACTTAATAATAATGAGGAAAATGTGTTAAGAACGCGGAGTGAAACATTGGTCTAATGTTATCGGATACGCTTAATATAAGTTTGTAACGTCACACTACATACGTAGAGTTTCACGTAATCAATAACAAAAATTGCAACAGTTATTATTAAATACGTCACTTTCTCCGTCAGTTAAATTCCTGTTTAGGTAAGTACTGTCGTTTCTGAAAATAGCCGAAGCTTGTATACAGGTGTACAGAATATATAAAAGAAAATAATAGTGCGTCCTTCCTCTAGCTTTGTCTCTTTTTACCCCAAAATGTATTAAAAGTTTAACGCAACCCTGTTAGGAGTCGCGTAAGAAATTTCACTAAAAAAATATTCTATAATACGATCAGCAAATATATGTAATTGTATTTAGAGAAAAATTGTAGTTAAGCAAGCAGACAATATAATCATATTAATTTGTATAAATATTAAGTAATACCTAACAGTTTGGCAAGAATTAACATGTCTCTTAACCCTTTGATGCCGGAGGGTCGTCGAGACCAAGTCGCGTATTATCTCATTTGATATATGGAGGAATTAAACGCTATTCACAATAGACCCTGGATCCTCTGTATTGAAACGCTGAAAGTTTTAAGGCTGAATGGAGTGACAAAAGCCTTACGATTAACTTATCGACGGTTATGGTAATTCATTTTGCTCAAATCTAGTCACATTAATATTATGTTGGTAGAGGGGAATGGAAAATTATTTCTATGTACATACGATGTAGGATTTGGTGCTAGAATTTTGAACGTACCTGGAATAAAAAGAAACATATTAGTACTTTTTATATATATTTAATTCTATAAATACGTTTCAAACTCCTTACTACATGAGTACGGATAAAAAAAGCTTTTTATTATACCGGTTTTTTTTTCTCTTTATTTAGCTGTTTTTTTTTTTGATTTGATCTCTGGATAATTATTATAGTGAGAACATAAGATCTAAGTAAATATTTTAAATAATGTAATATATTTAATAATAACAATTAAATATATTACATTTTTTAATTAAATATCCAAATTCAAAATAATAAATTAATTATATATTAGTAACAATGTAGTATTAGGATTTATTAAAAAAGTTTTTTGACTTTATTTCAGTAATTTTGTTTATTTTGTACTTTTAAAGGCAACATCTAATGTAACTAACAATTATTTTACATTTTAATAAAAAAATAACTTAAAATAAAATAATACCGGCCGAAATACATAATTTGCAGTAAATTACGAAAGCTTAAATCAATGCATATTAGGTAAATCGTAACAGAGAACTCTGAATTCACATCAAATAAAATTAATGGCGTTGCTTTAAGAATTTATCTGAGGGTCATAAAGTTGATGGAATGATGAAAGGAAAATTCAAAATACATATACCTTATAAGTGTAGGAAAAAAAAATGACATATCATACAATAAAATAAAGCATTTGTATTTGATTTAAGGATTTTATGTGTGTCGAACACGAGGCCAGCGAAACAAGATAGAAAATGTAAACATTTACTTTCGGTTATATCGACATTAAAAAGATTTAAAATAATCACCGAGTATTGTATTCAATATTATTCTACATCAAATTGTTATTTAATTAAAAAAGTATTTGTTTTAAAATCTAAGGTAATAATTTTATCTTATTTTTTAATTGTATGCTAGTAGAATTCTCTAGTAAATAAATAAACTTACTTTCTTTACATACTTCAAGTAATAAATATAGGTATTAAGTTGATGAAGTCAAATAGAAGGTTAGATAAAAGTGAAGGTTAATACAGGTCAACATCCTTACGAAATAATAGAATAAAGGTCAAAGGTCAGAAAGAGCTCGATATATTTTTAAATACAAATCATTGTAGCGTACTACAAATATAATTTCAAAATTCATTTCGAAAGCCATTTCACGAGTACGTTCCAAGTGAATGGAAGTTAAAACGTATGCCAAATATTATATAACTGGCACTCAGATACTGCTAGCCTTGACATTGCCAAATATTAAGTCTAGACTTCTGAACGACCTTCAAATAAATTATTATAATTTTAATAGGAATCTAGAGCCATCAATTATAATATTTTTAGGGACATTTACTCAGACATTGCAATAAGTGTAATATTAATTGTTTTGGTCGGCTTCAATTGTATAAATTATTTAAATTATTAATGAGTAATATTTACTTTTAATAAGATAATAATGACTTCAATAACTTTCGCGAATATTCATTTAAATGAAACTGATATTATTTCGATATACTACGCGTATTAAAAGTAACCGAAACGTCGGGAGTATGTAGTTTTTAAAATATTAAAATACGTTTAGTTATCTGAAAACTATTAGATTCATTTGAGATAATTCATTAATAAAGTGATTTAATGTCGGTTATTGATAAAGTACATATATCTCTACACACGATATTTTTAGCCGAAATGTTTTTTATTCAAACTGACTTTACCGTTTTGAAAATAACTTTATTTCATTCTATCCCTGCACATACCAGAGCTTAAAAACCATTATATTTGAAACACTGTCAGTGCATTTTTTGTCGACGGCTATCAAAATTCAGATACATAGATCGTATACATAAAAAGTTTAGAATAAAAATAGCTTTATATATCTATATAAAATAATGAAGGTTTGTCTGTTTATGCAATACTTTAGAATATCAAATATGTGTATGAAAATCAAATCGTTCTGTTAATGAATTCATCTTGTTGAACACAATGTCAAAGCTTGGGTACAACACAACAGATAGTGTCAAAGCGACGCCGGGCGGCGAGCTTGTGTCGCTCCATCAATATATCCGCTTTGGACGTTAGAAATATTGGATAAGGCTTTATATATATAAAAGAAGGTTGTGTTAGTTACACTATTTATTAACTCAAGAACGGCTGTACGGTATATGATTGAAAATTGGCGAGGAGATAGCTTAGTACCAGGAGACGGATATATTAAATTCTGTTCGATCAGAAAAAACACTTAATAAATTGTAACATCTGGTTATTTAAGGCGCAATAGAGTTCGTCCGATCAGCTATACATATAAACACGGACGAAGTCGCGGGCAAAATTTAGTGATTTAATAAATACATATTTATAAATTCATTTTTTCCAATATATATTACTTGAATAATGGACGCGGCATCTGTGTTTAAATTAAATACTTATTTAAGAAGAATATATCACCTACAATAATATGAAGAGTTTATTTCTAAAGGAACCTCCATTTTTTTGTCATAGCCTACATCCTTGTTTATAATTTTCTCGCCGAACCGGCGCCAATATGTAACTTCTGGACGTACATACGAATACCGTTTTATTGACACTCAATGTTAGCCACAATACGACGCTTTGAAGACGAGATAACATAGGCTTTTTCATAAAAACAATATATATTTTGAATTAGATTCAACAAAAACAAAGCCGTAATACAATTAATAATGTTTGTATTCATTAAAATATAAATTAAAACGCAGCATCCGTCATCAATCAGAGGGAACATGGAAGTTTGAAACAAAACAATAAACGAATACCCTCATCAAACTGGGAGCGATTCTTACGTTTGTCAGTTTAACAGCTATTTTAACAGTTTGACAGACCGTGACAGCTATAAAAAACGCGGTAAAATATTTAATGTAACCCTTCCCGGTATTACAATTTATTTTTAATATTATTTAAATGAAATTAATATTTTCGGATTTACTACACGATTTTTTATTTTTGACTATAAACTACATACTCCCGACGTTTCGGCCACTTTACAGTAACCTGATCACGGGCAGACGAGATGTAAATGTAAATAAAAAATCGCTTAAAACTGTAAATGAAAATAAAAAATCGCGAAGTAAATCCGAAAATATTAGTTTCATTTAAATGAGTAGTCGCAAAAATCTTACATAACATTTTAATATTATTTAGCCGGCCTCAAAAC